TTTACTGTGTCAACGTATAATTTATCATTACTCATGATTTTTCTTTATTTGATTATATATGGTTTAAATGACAGGTGGTGCAATTGAGAAAGAAACAGGTGGTATGGTAAACTTCTAACTAATAACAATACTACTAAAATGAATCCATTTTCTATTATGCTTCTTTTATTTATGAAAAGAAATTCAAAACCTAAAAACCAGTATGAAAATTAATGAACCTTTGGTATGCTACAAATAATTAATGCTATATTATAGGTAATATCACTGGTGTGTGTATATATATATATATATATATATATATATATATATATATATATATATATATATATATATATATATATTAGAATTTCAATATCATTAATGCAACATAGAATATCCTTTTTTCATAATATACTCTATCTCCATTCTCAATGTATTTTTTGTTTTATCCTAACATGTTGATAATGAACTGATTTTCTTATCAAATCATTTGATTACTATGGTTATGGGTATTATACTATTAGTTGCTTTGAACAAAACATCATCTAATAGGAATTCTCAAGTTAGGTTACAACCGGTGCCATACAGTTTTGGGACTAAGATTGGCTTATAACCACTAGGGGTATCAAGTTTTTACTTGATTTAATAAAAAAGATCTTTAATTTTTTTAAAAGTTCCATTTTTAGTGAATGCATCGGGTGGTTCTCATTTGACCTGTCACCGTTCAAAGCCCATGTGGCTTGGCCCGTACATTGGTAAAGTCTTGAAGATTAGGTCTTATGTTCATCTCTAGGTGGGATAAATGAAAATGTATGTTGCTATTTTATTAATTTAAATATTGACTCTGACTAGAAGTGTTGTTTCATTTTAGTAAGTGTTACTCATCAATTTGGTAAATAGAGTCGTCTTTTGTAGGTGTCATTCACCAATTTGAGTTGGTGGAATAACTTTTAATGTAGATGGTATTGGATTGAAAATGGGATAAATGAGAAAAATATCAAGTAGTTTAATTTATCTTCATATTATAGCATCCTAATTTTATTTTTCCTATTATAACTACTTACTGTAAAATTTTGTTGCAAATAGTTTGGGAGTTGGGGAAAGATGAATGGGGAAGATCATAGAGTCACGGTGAAGGGTTAAGCATGACAAACACAAGGAGAAAAAGTCATGATGTGGACTGTATGCACAAACGAATTTTATAAAAACAACTTTGGATTTTGTTAGAGGATGAAAATTAAACCAAATATACTGTTTGGGGTGTATTGGTTAGTGGTTTTGGGATATATGGGAATGAAGTGATGGTTTTCCTCATTAGTCGTTACCTTATTGAGAAAGATGCAAGTGGTTGAACTTTAGCTTTGATGTAAAATAGTTATAGGAGTTCAAGTAGATGGATGAGTTGATCAAGATTTGTAACGGGTTGAGTAGTTTATATTTGAAAATTTTGGGTGGATAGTTTGAATTTATGTAAGTGTTGGTGGCATTGCACAAACAGGCATCTAGAAGAAAAAGTCAAATGTATAATACATAGTTTGATTTTTTTTTTTTTTTAGTTGGAAAAGAGTTTGCCCCTATTATGATTCAATAGTAACCAAGTAGTTGCACATAAGTTGATCCTAAAGCCCATTGTTACTCCATCCAATTTTTTTCATTTAAAAACTTAATCAAGCACGATTATTTATTACTTCCATAACTATTTTGGTTTATTTAACAGTTACGTTTGTCCATTAATGTAATCTAGCATTATATAGGAAACGAAAGTAAAATTCATTTGTTGTACTCTTGTAGTGCCATATTTTTTACTTTTTATTTTTTTATCGGAATTTTTGACAAATGATTGAAAATAATAAACATAAAATGAATATCAGCTTTTAGAAAAATTTAAGTTAAAAGTAATCAGGAAAATTGATCATTAAAAGTAAACAATTCTTTTACATTACATACTTTGCATGCTAACAATTTTTTTAAACCATATAATATATTACAAGTTTTATTATTGTTTTTGGATATAGTCAATAACACATCTTTTTAATTTCTTTTTCATATTAAACACTAAGTTATAAATATATTTGAATTTTTAAATCAACATATACAAATATTTTTACTTTTAAACTAAAACATCACTATAATTACAATTTGCAATAAACAAAAACATGATTTTAATTTTAAACCAAAACATAAACACATTTACCTTTTAAACTTAGAAAAATAACATAATAAGATTTTTAAACCGAAAAGTGTTAGTCGATAAACAATATTTGTCAATTTGTTTATTGAATGTTATTTTAAATATGACATGTTTTGGAATTCAAAAAAAAAAAAAATCACAACAAAAGACAATTTAGCAAAAAAAAAATCTTTAACGAAAATAAAGTTTTCACCATTATTGAAAAAAATACTAACTCCGACTTGGAAACATTCATCAAAGATTGTCAACATCGCTTTATTTGTGCAAAAAAACTAATCACTTCTCAAAACTAATTTCTGAAAGAAATTAATCATATCCATCGCTTGGCGCGGGTATATATATATATATATATATATATATATATATATATATATATATATATATCTTAAAAACCATTTACCATATTTTGCTGAATTTTAAGAGGTACAACACCTTAAAGCATCATGTACAATAAGTTAATGCATTACATCTTATTTGGTCGATATACGTATACGTATGACTTTTAACCTGATCTCATTCCTTATCTGGTCCAATGACCTTCCCACCATTTTGCCCTATCTTCAGCCTTTTAATGCTATACCTCTGGCCATTTATATAATACCTCTGCTCTTCTCCATTCACCACCGTCTACGTCTTTAACTCAGTCGCCTCTCTCCTCGTTCTCCATAACCTGTGACCAACACTACCACACACCATCAACTTCACCACCTCACACCTAATACCACCGTCGCCATCAGCTCTGTATCACAAACCAACCGTCACACCGCTATCGCCTGACACTCAACCATCTGCATTCTCCTCCTTCCCCCCTCAATCGGAGACCATCAGAATCTATTACCCATACCCCACTCCATCTTCACCACCTGGGCACCCTCCCTGGCCATTAGTGTAATGAGAAACCCTAGCCACCATAATTTTCAAACTCATTAATCAGAGACCATCACAAACTCATTCATCTCTCTCGCTATAATCTCCGTAAATAAGCCTAGCTTAGAGCTCTCAGAGCCCCCTGTTTCTTGACTATGAATTTTTTGAGTCAGTGATAGTGCTCATCCGTCCCTCTCTATAAAAAAAAGCCCAAAGAGCCACAACCACAATCAATCCCAACCATCTCTAGGTTCGTATTGATGATTTTTGTTGGATTAAATAGTCTTTTGTGTTGTTTTAAACGTTTTTCTATTGGATGTGTGGGTTATGATGATTTTTCATTGTAGAAAAGGAATCGGTGGTTTTTTTCATGTGAATGTTTTTCCCCTTCTTTCAATCCCTTTCAAAGTCACGCCACTATTAAAATCACTACCAACCCATTGTGGGTTTTATTCTCTCTTCTCCATCTCTCCTTCTGTTATTAATCAGTTCATTTATTCATATATTTTATCTTGGTTTGATTGCAGGTTTTATGAAGATCCCTAATAGCCATTATCTTCAACACCACCAAATCCTTCATCAGCCGCCATTTTCAACACACATTACCTATAGATCCCCCCTATCATCACCACCACACCATTTCTCAGGTTTACACCACCATTAGCTCTGCTTCCCCTCTTTTTATTCTTCGCCAATTTATAAAATTAATCATACAGGTGCGTATTTATTTGATCATGGCTTAAAGTTTTACTTTTTTTAGGATACATTGGCATACATGTTTATAAAAATCATTACTTTTACTTTCAAAATGTTAAAATTACTGAATATGGGAAGTCAATATGAAGCTTAACAAGATATAGATAAGGATTTGGAACATATAAAGGTATTTGTATATGTTTCTGATGTCATGATGTTAAAAAATTGGATTTTATTCAAACTATTATGGATGTTTGGTTGACCTTTTTATTAAAATATAGCTTATGCTTTTAATAGATGATTATTTTCTATTTATCATTAGTGTTATCATAAAATCTTTCTTATGTATGATTGATAGAGATCTGTTGCTCCTCTTCAAGGTAACAATCTTGACCTAATTCTATTTGAATTCGGTTTAAATGAACTGTCTTTGTGTACTTTGATTGTACAACATTATTAACATAGATCTGCCAGCAATATCTTAAAAGTATTGTGATCTGCATGCTTTAAATTACCATTAGATGATTTTAGTATGCACTTGTGTTTATATGTCCATTTTTTGTGGTTTAGTGTTTGGTAGGCTGATTTGTTTTTTTAATGGAAAAGAATTTTGTAGGTTTGATATAATTTTCTTTAACCAAACCTAGAAAGGTAGTGATGTTTAGAAATAAAAAACCATGTAGATGCATTTATGTGACAGTTGAATAAATATTTTCGAATGAGGTTCATGATAGAAATATTTGGTTGGTCAAATGACTAATGTAATGATTATCAATATTTATGAGGTTTTTGTAACAGTTTAATGCTTGTATTGTAGGTGCTTTGGCATCTTAACAGTTGCTTTAATGCATCACCAAAGATGGTTTCAGTTACATTGTTTAATGGGTTTCTTGGTGGAGTTGAAAATCCAGGTACTTTCTAATTTCTATATGTGCAGACAAGAATAGAGTATTAGATATTATTTAACAATAAGAAACATTCTTGCAGTGATTAATATCATAAACAACAACTTATTTCATATGGATAATGGCAACAAAAACCTCAACCATTTAAATATGAGTAAAATAAATACATTTCTTCACGAAAAATGTTTTTTTTGGAAACTTATATTATAAAAATACATTTCCTCCTTTGGAAATAAATTGCTTGCTTCTAGCCTCATTCATTCTACTTAATTTTATTAAGCATATGGAGTTGTACTATTTACAAAGGAAAATAAAATGAAAATAGTTTCATCACATGATTTTGTGTTGTTTTTATTTAATAGGAATCGAGTAAGCATGGGGCTATTGGCTTTGTCATTCTAAAATATATTTTAGTTGAAAAATGGTTTGAATGTTTATGGATAGATAAAAACATTACAAGCGAACACTAAACAACTAAGATGCAAGTTTATGGATGTAGCTTTCCCCTGGCGTTGAATCAACATTATTGCAGCAAAGTGTTAACATATTCGACAGTTAAGCTCATTATCAAGTCATTCAACTTCAACATAACCACACCCGACTTAGCTAAGGATTCCATCACGACCCACATGAACATAAGCAGCTCCATGGCATTTGACAACAAAAATCACTCGTGTTCCCAAATTGGCAATTTTTGGGCATACAAGTGTAGAGTTAGAGTTCTTACAAAAAATTAAACCCCATAATGCCAATTTTATTATTACCTCAAAACATCGAAACAAAACGAGTAATGGTTGGTTCACCATAACTTTATTTGGCTATTTATTTATTGGTTTTTGTACATGATTTATTAGGAATAAAATAAAAGCTTTCTTTTTTCAATAATAAATAAACTTAAAAAACCTAAAAAACTATATCTAAATAATATTTCTTATCTCCAAGAATTATACCATATAAAAATATCAAAAATTACAACTCTTTTTCCTATAAATTGACTATGATATCGATATATTTTCATATCAAATTTTGATTCTATATTTATAATCTTTTTCAATTTTCTACTCTTTTTTTTTTTGGCATGGATCATTTGTTTCCAAATATTAATATCTTAAACAAATAATTTAGTTGTTTAAAAAAAATTATAAATTTTATTCAATAAATAAAAGTTGATTATAGTTAGATTGTTAATAAAAGTGAAAATAACCATTTAGAACTACATGTATGATATTAGCACGCTAAATGAAACATTTGATAGAAAAATGGTGACATTAGATTCGAAAAGGACATTGCGATTTGCAAACATAGTATAGATGTTTATTTGGAAAACAGTTTAAAAATAGACATTGCAATTTGCAAAAATAAGTATAGAGGTTTTTTTGGAAAACAATTTAAAAAATAAAATAAAAAGGAACTCCAAAATTTGAAAAATATATGATCTATCATGTGTTCTTACTCATTTGCAAATAATTTCCATAAAAGAGTTAATTGTCTTTAGAAACTAAATCTGAAAAAATTATTTGTATCCATCGTTTGGCGTGAGTAATAGCTAGTATATATATATATATATATATATATATATATATATATATATATATATATATATCATTTGTGAATTACATGTATTGATTTGTAGAGAAATGATAAATTTTTACGCACAATCAACATGAATATGCTTTTTCTTTTCAATTGAAATTAAATGCGTAAAAATTTATCATTTCTCTACAAATAAATACATGGAATCACAAATGAATATACTTTGTTCTTGCTTTTTCAACCTTTTTGATGTTCTCATTTGATCATATATATATATATATATATATATATATATATATATATTATATATATATAACTTTTTGCTAATACCATTTTTACTTTTTCTTTTAAACAACCAACATTCAATAAAACCCAAAAACTAGCAAAGAACCACAACAAATTACAAACTTCTATGGGGTTTCGTATCGTAACCAATTAACCCATTTAGTAGTTATTTTCATATTATGATTAGCAAACCAAATAAAAGAAAACTCATTTATCGAATCAACAGTCATTTCATTATGTATCGTTTTCCCCATATATCGTGACATTTTTGAATCTCCATATCACCTAAATAGTAGTGAAAATCACTACTTCAATTTCCTTATTCTTTGCAACCATGGAAGCATTTTCGAGCTACATGAAAAATTCTTGTATCGATACCACTCATGTGGGGGTAAATTCTAACAAAAAAACACACCCCAAGTCCAAGCTACAACTTTAAATCTAAGAAATAAGTGGCTCAATTTCTCAACTTCTAAATCACACAATGAATATAATAAAGCCCAGATATCTAAACCACGGTAGTCAAGATTTGTTAGGAGATGTAACGTTTGTGTTTCTGGGCTTATCATTAATAGAGACGTAATAGTCTAGGTTAACCTTTGTAACCCGTCTTGAAATAATAAATATGTATTATTTGAGTATTACGTGTTTTGTGCTTAATTGTGTAACTTAAATGAATTAAGGATAAAAATATGAGTTAAAATAAAATATTAGATAAGCCTGATATCGATACATGAAGACGTAGTGGTCGTAACGAGCTTTACAAATATATAAAGAATGCCACAATTCGAGTTATAACGAAGAAGTTATGACCTGTTGAAGTTTCGCGACAGAACCGGTACGGCACAGCGCGGCGTAAATAGTGAATTTACTGTAGAGCGATATTTAGCCTTAGTAATGTAAATGAAAGTCATAGAATACATTAAACTGAGAGTGTGCATAAAAAGAACGCCCAAAGCTGACTTCGTATGAGGAAGTTATGATTTTTCGAAGTTTCGACTTAGCGATATGCAGCCCGAATACTCGATTTGAGATTGAGCGGTTTTTAGCCGACACAATCTAAACAAGAATCGAAGATCTCGTCGATAGTAGTCCAACGGTAAAAAGACAGACGAACACGGACGTCGGATGAATAAGTTATGAGTTTATAACGGAGTTTTCTTGTCCCGACCTACTAAAAATAATATAATAAAAATAAAGTCGAAATCAGCCGACCGAGTCTAAATGAAAGTTGTAGAAGTCTCACCTACGAGAGGATATAAAGGACGTTGAAAACGGAGTTCGTATGAGGAATATATGAATTTCTGAAGTTTTTAAATAATTAAAATATATTTATTTAATTATAAAATCGGATAATACCGAACCCATGACTCATCCGGCCTTAGCCACCCAGTACGCCCAACGTACGTAGATGTACACCCAACGTACATGTCGACGAGCATTACGCCCAGCGTAACTTTGAGGTACGCCCAACGTAAATCGGGGTTTCAGCCCCTATAAATAGAAGTCGATGACAGTCGAGTTTCTTTGCTCACTTCTTCATTTCTCTCTCATTTTTTCATCATTTTGCGTGCAAGAAATATCTTGAAGCCCCGGTATTAATCTCGAGCCCTGAAGACCCCGAGAAGAAAGATTCCGGAGCCGAAGCTCTGCCCGCGTAAAGCCCGGTTTTGGAGGAAAACATCCTGGTTTCGTCGCAAAAGATTATTTTAAGAGACGAGGCGCTGTCCAATCATCGTCTTATCAAGTGAGTGTGTAGCTACTTTCTTCTAACGTATAATTATGAATTATTTTATATAAAATAAATGTTATGTGTATATTTTGTTGTTATATGTGTGAATGTATATTCACTTTCTTCTATCTCATAGATATGATTTGTTCTCTATGAAATACATGTTATGTGTATGTGTCTCATCTGTTGTTTGGAATATGTATTGAATGAGAATGATATACAAGTTTTAAACTATCTATAAAAATCTATATTTTTATCTATTAATATATTGGGTAGAACATGGGTAGATAGTTAATGTGTGATAAATAGATGAGAGGCCTCGATGTTGTTGTTGTTAATCTAGTCATCTAGCAGAGTATGGATGACGACCACGGACTCTTAATAGAAAGTCATGTGGAACGCTAGCAAGTTCACAACCTGTAGGTGTTGTGAACGATGTGTTCACCGGTGTACTCTATCCCCCTCACGGTTGCCTTTAAGACATCTACTGTTGAGGTAACCCCTTTGCAGTAATGTCCGTCCCAATGAAAATCCTAGATTAGGTCCCTTGTGATAGTTGTTGTTTTAGGGACGTAAAGTGAGGATAACAGGAATGGGTAATCGGGTTATTGTTGATTGTTGAATTAAATATAATTATTTATTGTGGGTTGAAAACCCTATATGCTCACCAGGCTCCCAAGCCTGACCCACTCAGTTTTATTTGTATTACAGGAAGTGGCGCGAGGGCATAAGATGGATGAATCGTCAAGTTGTTTTGTATATAAGCTTGTAGTTGTATATAACTGTTGTATGGCTTGTAATATGCCGTTTATGCTTTTTGGTCTGTATCAGAACATGACATCCCAAGTTTTGATATCTAATGAAAATGTATTCCTTTATGAAATGCTTTGGTAAATATTATTTTATCTAATTTTGTTTTCGGGAACAAATTCCGCAACTCTTTTAAATCAATGTATTTACTCTGAAACTATTTTAAAAGCATAAATGAAACCGGTCTTTTCTGACCGAGATTTTGGGGATGTCACGGAAAGTATCACCCAAAACTGCATGAAAAAACAAAATAGAAAGAAAAGTGGTTGAGGCCTGTGTTAAACACAGTTTCCTTAAAACACATCCGCCCCATATGCGTGTTTGTTTCCCATGATACAACAACAATAAATGGCTCTTCTAGGTTAATTGAATCCTTACTTGGCACGAAAAATACTTTGGTTGCAGCAAGACATCGAAAATGATGCAAAAACATAAGAGATGAAGAGTAGTAGTTTGTTTCATTTAGGGTGTTCAATCAGTAGCCTGAAGCCTTTATTTATACTTAGAATAATATAGGTCAAAAAGCGTAACTAATGTGATTAATACAAAGTCATAACTGTAAAAAGTAAATGACGCAATTGATCAAGAAATCAAAACCAAAATTTATGATTAATGACTTTTAATTTAGGGTTTACAACTAGTATGAAAAATAAAAATAATTGCAAAAAAGGTTCTTGAACTTTTTTGATCGACCAGTTGTACATTTTTACCCCTAGGATGCGCGTTCTCACATAAGTTCAGTGAACCCAAGCCAAATTTGCTCGTATTTGCACCATCCCTTGCATGCAAGAGAGAACCTTGGTTCTATAAGTCTTAAAAAGCTAGCTAGACTCTGTAGTTATAAACCCATTTTCTTTTCATGCCCCCTCCAATGTGGGATGAGTTAAAACCCATTTAACTCATTTATTTGTTCTCTTCCAACTACCCTACCTTGACAAGTAATTTCTTATTCACCTTTAATCTATTTTGGATGTGTGATATATCGAAACGAAAGTATCATGGAGGAGAACACGAATATATAATCATTAGTCTATTTTCATTATATTTAGGGTACAAAATTCATGCTCATAATTGGGAAAAACCCATTTTTTGAAATTAGTAAAACTAATTATCCAACAATATCCCACATGAATGAAAATTACTTATATAATTTCAAGATGCTTAAGTATAATCTAGCAGTTTAATAATACATAAGATAGGTAGGTATTACCCTTTGAACCTTCCCATGAGATACATATCTATTTTACTAGAAGACTAGTAGACTCAATGTCCTTGAACTGTTCTGTAATTTGTGTAAATAATAAATACATGTCTCACGTGATTCTCTCTGACCTAGTTAGGTTTTCACTGATGTGCCCATTATGGTTATGGACACTTTCATGGTTCTATAAGAGCTCTTAGGAATTTTCTCATTTAATCCCCTTCGAAGCGAACACACTTCTATCTCACATAGGTGATTCTATAATAATCATTAAAAGCTAAGATTTGATTATTTCAGCTTATCA